AGTAATCGCATTTTAAGTGTCAGTTTGTTTGTGTTAGCGGTGCGAAAATGAGTTCGATACAAAGAGTCWACATTTAATTTTATTTTAAAATTGATAAAACTTTTATCGAAASGTTTCAATTGACGAAACAAGTTTGKGGCGATGATTGCCTATSCCGTAGCAGAGTGCACGAGTGGTTTCAACGTTTTCAAAGTGGTCGTGAGAACATAAATGACGATCAATCCGTAATCACRGGAAATTCCATCGAAACTGYGCGTGAATTCATCAAAAATCAGCCGGAATCATCATTGAAATTCATGGAAATGGTATTGAACATCTCCAAAACATCGATTTATCGGATTTTGACCGAACATTTTGGCTTACGAAAGGTGTGTGCACAGTTTGTTCCGCACAAATTGACTGACGACCAGAAATTGCTCAGAATCCAACATTCGAAGGACGATTATTTGACCACAAATCACATTTTAACCATTAATCACTCCCCGTATTCACCTGATATGGCACCGAGCGACTTCTTCCTTTTCGGAAAAATGCATTTGCCCTTGAAAGGAAAGCGTTGTGCAGACGTAGAGGCCATTCAAAAGGCTTGCATTGGCATACTGGGGACATGACCGAGACTACTTTAAATAAAATATATTGATTTTGCCGAACTACTGAACATTTTCTAAGCAGCGTGCATGCGGCAAAGCTGAAACTTTTCAGACGCTAACTGTCAAAGTTGTACGGAAGAAGGTGAAATGGAAACATACAGATACTTTCCTCCAATGTCAAGCTTTTGCAAGCTCGGCAAACATATCTTCGGCGGTCTCGACAAAAGAGCTAGTATTAATATCAGCCGTCTCAACAAATTTTTAACCGGCTCAAAACGCTTTGTGGATTTTGGAGAGTTTTTTGAATCAATTATTAGGAGKATTTAGATATCATATAGGACCAACGTGCTCAGCCATTCAAGTTTAAGTAAAGAAAGATAACAGGAGCAGATGTCGAAATTGAGCAAGGATCACGGCACCGTCCACCTTTGGGTGGAATCCTATATCACGGAAACTACTTGACCAAATGAGAGCAAATTTAGTATWTGAGTCWACCCATGYATTTCTATTAWTMATTATGAAACTGAAAAGTTTTATAYTTTGCACAAATGGTGCTCTCAAGGTCTTTCAGCTTACGYCCAAAAATTGTCGAAATCGGTTTATAACTCTTCAAGAAYCCAGACASCAAATATGTGAACCAGAGTGCAGATTGCTGATTACCGAACATATCGATATATCTGCTTGGCCTAGTGGTGAAATTCGGGGAGAATATYTTTGTGATGAGAAATATTTTCCCGGCTTTGATCCTHGCAAGTTGCGATAGTATAAACGGTTCGGTTAAACCCTACCTTAGCGTTTCATTATTGATTTTAATTCATATTCTTTTTTTATATAACTTCTTGTAAAATTTGAGCGCTTGGAGTTCTTTTCTTGCTTACGGACAATCTTGTGAGTGAAAAACACTGCAGCTTGCAACTAAACAAAGCTAAAGGAGCGAGAATTGCTTAACACACAAACCGGTTGCCAAACCAGTAACAACACAAACCAATCAAACGACAACTCAGTCAAAAATCGTTTTGTGGCGCATTGATACACTTAAGGATTGATAGAACAGACTTCACTCACCAACATGCAAGCACCTAAAAAGTATGTATGTTTATGTGTGTTTGTCAAAGCATGAAACCTCTCGGGCGCTCTCCACATTGGCTGCGCAAACCTTTATCTTGCTTTGAGACGCGCATCTGTGCTCTTTCGGCCAAACGATCACCTTCGACTTTCCATTAAATTCCTTCATTCCATGCACTAATTGAATATGTGTCGGCACTACATTCGGATACAGACATATCGGCATACAAACATACATGTAGATATACATAAGTATCAATAAGATGAGAGCTTTTGTCAAACACTAAGCGCACCAATTCGAACAGTTCATTTCCATTCGTCTTGGCGCGCACTTCGAAGTCTAAGTAACAGATATTACGGAATATCACGATCGG